TGTTATAGGACACTTTCTGTTATTTAAATAAAACTTTTTTTGCCGGTGTACATGTGTTGCATTTGAGTCCAATTTACCTGCGTGATAGGTTTAGTCCTGGTTTAGACCTAGTTTGGATCTGATTTAGTTCTGGTTTAGACCTGGTTTAGACCCAATTTAGACCTAGTTTAGATCTGGTTCAGTACTGGTTTAGAACTGGTTTAGTCCTGATTTAGTGAGTTTCCTTACAAAAAATGAAATTTTAATAAAGCAGCTCTAAAATAAAATAATAATAAAAGCAGTTAACACACACACTAAAAGATCTGCTCCATACGAATAAATGTTAAAGGCATATTTTGCTTCTGATAGAGGGTTAATACTAACTCACACTCGTGTTTTTCAAGGAGTTTGTTAGCAGAGTTGGAAGTATTCCAGGCCCGGGTAAAAACTCTTCAGGCATGTTTTTGATGACGAAACAACACAACATTAGTAGAATTTCTATGATGATCTAATTTTGACTTACTTTTGTGGAATAATGCCTTTTGTAAACATAAATTATAGTTTTACACCAATCAAGAAGCAATTTGAGAAAGAAAAGTTGAAAAATGTCTTGAAAATTACAGAAAAGTTACCAAAATTCTATCCAAAAAGCTCAATTCTTCTGACACTCTAAATGCATTTTCAACTAAATACATCTTTAGAGAGAAAGAAGGAGAGTGAAGGAATAGAGAAAGAAAGAGGGAGGGAAAAACTGAAGGAGAAAGAGAGAAAAGATGGTGAGAAAGTGACAGAGGGATATAGAGGAGAAGATGGAGAAAGAAATGCAGGGAAAAGATTGACATATATAGAAAGAGAGAAAGAAAACAAAGGGGAGCGAGGGGAACTGAAAAAGCAAGTGATATAAAGGGAGAAAAGGAGAAAAAGAGGGAAAATGTGAGGGAGAGAGTGAGAATAGTATTGTATCTGCCTGAAAGGATCTTATACTGTATTTGTATTTGTCAAATAATAATTCCTGTGTACATTAGAGGAGTTTTGGCCCGGTGTGCCTCGGGGTTGCTAGGTAACAGTAATGGATTTTCCAAGCGTGACGTCATGATTTCCAACCAGGAAGTAAAATCTTTAAAACTACAAATTTCAGATTTCAGCACCATGGACAGCACTTGACTAAAAAATGCACATACAGCTCCTTGTTGGCCGTGTTTGCAGAGTAAAGAAGTGAAAATAAAAATACAAATCATAAAATAAAAGAGTGATTTCAGTGTCATACTTTCCGGAAAAAAATCCTAATAATCTTAAAAGTTTGAACACTTGCTCAAGTCTAATCAGCAATGCAGTAACTCATGACTTATAATTTTATTTCAAATCTGTTTCTGAAATGTTATAAACCACTAAGTTATGAATACATTTTGCTGAATTTTTTGTTTCAAATTTGTTTTCTGAACTAAAAACAATAGCGTTATGGATATTAATTTGCACAAACCTCGGCACTGTACAGGTCCAGTGGCCACATACAGCACGTTTGTTGACTCTTTAAGCGCATTTGGAATTACAAAATAAACACATTTTATAATTTTAGCTCATGCATGGACTAAAGCTGCGTTGTTTTTTTTATTTTAGGTGTTGTTTATTCACGTACAAAGTGACGCAATACGTAAATCAAGAAGCGTACAATTAATATTATACAGAACTGAGTTGAGCCCTCCACAACATTTTCTGTTTTTTATGGTGAAAAAATAAAACGTGTACTGTAGTTGTTTAGCCTCTATAATATCTTTGAACTCTTAATATTTACATTTTTTCAAAAAGTTGATAGGAAAAATGAATAGAAAACATACTTCCAGAACCAGAGCGTCTGTTGAGCTCTATTGGCAAAACAAAATGTGTATCAGAAACTCCATAACCCGTCATAATTTTGTACTTTTGATGCAACATTCAACATGCAAATGATTCGTAAAAACATACAGTGACTAGTTACCAACAGCGGTGTGAAACAGAGTAAAAGTATTAAAGATTTTATGTATCTGTACTTTATTTAAATACTTACACTGGAAAAAACAATATCTAGGTAAGTTAAAATGACTTAAATTAACAATATTTTACTTTATTTGATTTATTTTAACTTGAAAAATAAAATTATCTAAGTGTGTATTTCTTAATTCAAGCAATATTTGATTTTCTTTCTTATTTTAAGCACAAAATTTTTTGGTTTTTCTTATTTCAAGTGTAGCAAGATGTATTTTCACATTTTAAGTGCAAAAAGTCTGGTTCCATTGGCAGATAAGTTTACATGTCAAGTTAAATTCACTCAAATCATGATAAAACTTTCTTAATTCAAGTCATCTTAACTTGACTAGACCTGATTTTGTTTGCGGATACTTTTGACTTTGACATCACTACATTGGAGAGCAGCTATCTTTACTTCTATACACTGCATTTTTGAACAGAAAGTCGGAAGTAAAAGTATTTTTGTAGTAGTTTGAGACTCGCCGAAAAGGCAGAGGAGTTTATTTTTAACGCGAGCAAGAGATACTTTTACCTGAGTTTTTTTGGGGGGGCTTCTGTACTTGTAATCGAGTACTTCTTCCATCACTGGTGACCAAAAATAAATATGTAGGCCTACACATTTACAAACGTCATCCGTGCGTGCCCTTGCTTTGGGGTCAGTCGCTTTCTTACAGCAGGAAGTCTTGCCTAAGTGGACACCGAGCCAAACGATCCCTTCTCTCACTTATCGGGTGGACGTTTAAGGTCGCGCCGCTTATCGATCGCCTCGGACGCGCGGGGGACGGTTTCCTCTCTCACTGCTTTAAGTTATGTTATTAATTCACCAGGTCACCCTTAAAAGTGTATACGTGTGCGCTGTCATCATTTCCCATTCACACACACACACACAGACATACACAGATGCGGGCTATTTGCGTAGTAGCCAATCAATTAGGTCACGTAATATGGGCACGTTTGGGTCTCCTCTGGGAAGAATTAGGACGGGCCAGTGTTAGTGACTCATGGTGTTCTTTTGGTGGAGTGTGGAGTCAATGATAATAAGGAAAAAGCATCTCGCAGGTCAACAATAAAGAGGCAGGAAATGTTAATGAGAGTCTAAGTTGCGTTTTTTTTTTCCATAACGTCGTGTGCGTAAAAGGCTAAACGTCTGATATTGTTATGGTCGTGAATGTAGCGCAGTACAGCCCGTGGTCACACCTTGAGTAGTGAGCAGTGTTGTGGTGGTGGAGGAGGAGGAGGAGGAGGAGGAGGAGGGGGGTGAGGGGTTGAGGGGGAGGGGGGAGAAGAGCCAGCGCGTTTCAGTGCGGGCGGGGCGGAGGAGAGAGGAGAGAAGAGTTCTCTTCGTCCATTAATTTCCAAATGTCTGTTGCTAAGAATAGCATCCCTCTCTCCCTCCACCTTCCGTCACAAACACGCGCACGTATACGAAAGCATTGTGAGTTCGGGCTGCAGCTGTACGTACGCACGCAGCCGCTTCATTCTGGCTCTCCTGCCTCGCGTGGGGAGAATACAAGGGTGGAACATATGATTTTGGTGCAGGGGAAGGTGGCAGCGTCCTGTGCCGCGCGTGTCACTGTGGACATGACGCAGGGCAGGGCTGAACACAAACACACGCGTATGTGATACACAGAGCAGCGTCCGTGACGGCTACGTCTGGAGTTGGACGGAGCGCGTGCGTCATGTGCTGCGGGTGCAGAGGCAGAGAAGACCCCCCCTCCCCTCACTCTCTCTCTCACCCCTCCTCCTTTCCCTCCCTTCATCATTTTCTCTATTATTTAATTCCATGCAAATTAAGATAAACAAAAAGCACACATATTACCAAATGCAAATCCTCGGATGAGAGCTGCAGTCCCGTGTTTTAATTTAGCTCTGCTTTTATCCATTACTCAACGCGTCCGCGCGCCCCCCTCCCTCCTCCTCCTGTCCCCGGGGCCGAGCACAGAGGAGTGGAGGCCGATAGTGAGACAGTGAGACCGCGGACGAGCTGCCAGGACATTGGGGCTCATCAGTGCGGACCGAGGGGAGAGCTTTTTGGGGCGGGAATGCTGAGGGAGCGCGCGGGCACTTGTGCACCTTCGACGAGCCACGGCGAGGCGACACGATGAGCGGCGGTGAGGCGGGCGACAGGCGGCCGTACCCCCGCCTTTGACGACACCGTGGTCCCCGCTCGGCTCCTGGATGCAGGCGCAGGTGACGAGCACAGCGCGGAGGATGCTTGAGAGGAGCGTGCCGTCCACTTTGGAGAATATGACAGCGACGCATCAATGGAGTGCGGTATTTTCTATTTTCTCTTTGAAATAAGACTAGCGACTGTCACCTCGCTCATTTTTCATTTTCCACAGCGCATTGGTAAAGCCTCCAATGCCACATACTGTACCAAACATTGCGGATGTTTCGGAAATAAATAAATAATAGCAGATTTTTTCCGCCTTTGAGTGCCATATTTTGTTGAAAATGACAAGTGAAACATCACCAAGCCTTGTCTAGACGACACACTGTCAATGCTTTTCAATGTGTTTTTGGACAATCTGTTTTCTTGACGCCCGTGTTCGAGGCGTTCTTCCTCACGTTTCATTTTTACTGGAGCGAAAGCATGAGCCATGGACAATATGAAACATTCATGTCAGCGGGCTACAGCCTCTGGTTGATTTTATGTTGGGGCCGAATCCTGCGTTTGACGGACACCCAAGCGGAGACAGCCCACAGCAGCTCGAGCGTGCCGCGCGCGCAGCCCACCCGGGGAACACACGTTTAATTTCCCCCCGCCACAGCTCCGCCGCTGGCCGCTGGCTGAGACGCGCACAGATCGGTACATGGGCGGCCTCCTTCACTGATCCGAGCCGCGGCACAGCAGCAGAGCGCCGGATGCAGGTGTTCAGCCTTTGCCTCTACAAGACAACCCGTTGAGTACATGAGACGTTCGGATCCAGATGGGATGTAATGTTGTGTGGCTGCACAGCTGAGACCTGCTCTCCTTCTCCGCTGCTTCTTAAAGATTGGCTCTTGGTGTGTAGAGGATGGCGCGGTTCGGAGACGAGATGCCGGCCAGGTATGGCGGCGGTGGCGCGGGAGGCCGCGGTGGCAGCAGGCAAGGAGGACCCCACGGACACGGTCACGGCCATGGCCACGGCCACGGCCACGGGATGCACGGGCACGGCGCGCACGGCATGCACGGGCCCCCTGGAGGCCCCGGGACCCAGAGAATGTACAAACAGTCCATGGCGCAAAGAGCGCGGACTATGGCCCTCTATAATCCCATCCCCGTGCGCCAGAACTGTTTCACTGTCAACCGCTCCCTCTTCATCTTTAGTGAAGACAACTTTGTGAGAAAATACGCCAAAAAGATCACCGAATGGCCATATCCTTTACGCACTGTGTTGAGTGTAATGCAGCTGTGCCCAGGCCTCTGGGGAGCAGGTAGGCCTATAGTGTAAGCACCCTGATATGTGACACGTATACGGCTGTAGCTACAAGTACATGTATCAGCCGCTTTGACGCGGGGAATACGGGACTGGGAATTTATAGTTAATTAAAGCGAGGGCCGTGAACTAACAGCACTTTTTACGAGGCTGTTGATCAACATCAATCACATTTGTTAGTTGTTCCGCGTCACACTGGAGTTGGAACCTGCTTGATATACGCGCCGCGTGCATGTGCTGGTGCGCGCGTGTGTTTGTGTGTGTGTGTGTGTGTTGGGGTGTGTATGTGTGTGTGTGGGGAGAGGAGGGGGGGTGCTGATGTCAGCATGTGCGGTGCCGAGCATACACAGAGGTACAGAGGAATGGAGAGCAGAGAGAGGGGGATGGGAGGAGGAAAGGTGAGAAGGAAGATGAAAATAAGCGACAGTAATTGTGCGAGCGCGCGCTGCTATCAGCGAGCTGCAGGTGCCTGAGTGTTCAGCTCCGTTCTGTGCAGCGGGCTGTGGGAGCGTCTCTGTGCGTTTGTGTCGGCTCTTTCCCTCTCACATCACCGGAGAACAAACAGCTACTGTACCTGAAACACATTTGGGCTGACTCCTAAAATCATTCTAGAAAGCAGACTCAGTGTAGCCTTTATTGTACAGCTGAACATGGAGCATAGAGCCTCCTCTCAGTTTCATTTAGCCAAATGGTGATGGTGATGGTCTTGTGAATACTGGGATTTCAGATTGTAGTAGGAATTGATTTGTTTTTGCTGTAGAAATGTCTCTTCTGTGTATATGATTGAAGTTCTGGACATATTGCTGCGTGCTCCTGACATCACGACATACTAACACTCGTATTTCAGACCGAGCTGGAAGACAGGTCAGAATCCTATGGTGAAATTTACCGTTTAACTGTCAGATTGCAGATTTATCCACCTGGTTCGCGGTTAATGTGTCTTTAATATCTCTGTAATTACTGGTCCTATCCACACATGACTAAAACTGGCACAAAGGTCAACATCTTCTCTGTCAGCATAAATAAACAAAAGCAACATTATTTCTCCCATCGCCTTCAGAAAGTGGTGCCATTATTCAAGCCGTAAGACGTGATTGTCGTCGGTAGAAAGGACTTTAACACATGATTAAGATGGCGAGTTTGTGGAGCCGATCCTAAACAAATAATGATACGTTTTAAAAAATTGATTTCAAAAACAGTAAGTCTCCCGTAGAGTTATGCATAGGCCCCTGCCTTCCATCTGAAATCATGACACCATCCATTTCTAGAACATGAACCACTGATACTTGGGGTTGTGACGCTATCTGGAAGCACTACTCCGTCTGAAGCACCGTTATTCATGTTAGACTTAATCTGAGCTTTGTTTTAACACAATCTGACCAAAAATAGCTGACTTAAAATGTTAAACAAGACTTTCACACATAACTTTACCATCACAAGGTACCGAGCATTAGATACAGTCACTCTCAAATTAAAACATATAAATAAAACAAAAAGCAACTCAGTTTTCAAATTTTTATAACATGATTTAGGATGTGTTCACATTTGTCGTGATTTGATCCTGGTTTGAGCCCAGTTTAGTCCTGATGTAGACTTGGTTTGGTCCTTTTCTAGTCCCGGTTTAGTTCTGTTTTGTCCATTTTTAGTCCCAGTTTTGAGGTTGGGTCAGCTTTTAGTTGAAATTCATGCTCTGACTAATCACAAACTTCTGGAAAATGCATCCTTTAAATTAAATGGTGTCAGCCCTATGTTCCCTTATTGGTAATATTTTATTAATTTCTAAGATTTTCTTTTCTCAAAATTAAACTCTAAATCAAGTCATTTTTATTTTTATATACTGCATTTAAAGGGTTGATTCAGAGTAATTTCAACCTAGGATCCTTTGCACCGTGACCTCTGCATTACATCTGTAGTCAACTGCTGCAGGATAATACAGTATGTTGGGCGTAATTGACTACCAAACTGGGAGAAATGGGGAGAAATTCTGATGCAAACTGATGATAAAAGAAATCTGGGAACACAGGGCCTAATTTTGGAAAAAAAAAAACAACTTAGAAATGAGGGAACATAGGGCTGAGGGAACACAGGCACGCTCCCATTTAAATCCATTTTGTGTTTTTTTTCTTGAGCTTTCAGACCACCTTAACACATTTTGTCGGTGTTTACTAATTGTGTCGCCATGGCAACCGCTTGACATTCCGCCCATAGACACACATGTAGATTAGGACATCCACCAGCGTGATATCACTGTAAAGTATCAGTAGCTTTGGTAGTGGCAGTAGTTACTAACAGAGGTGGGACCAAGTCGTCGTTTTGCAAGTCTCAAGTAAGTCTCAAGTCCGAGTCAAGTCCCAAGTCAAAGACAGGAAAGTCCAAGTCGAGTCTCAAGTCACTGGCCCATGAGTCCAAGTCAAGTCCAAGTTGTCTGCTTTGAGTTTCAAGTCATTTCAAGTCTTTAAAAAGCTTAGATTTTTGCAATTTATATTTATTTTAAGATAAATTGTACTTAAAAATCATAGTATATTTATATATGAGTATTTATAGAGTATGTATTGTAGAAAGGTAAATTTTTCCTTTTTAAATGTCTTGACAAGATCTTATTGTGAGTCATTATGGTCAGAACAGAAAGAATTCAGATTTAAAAGTGCTTGTCAAATCACTGGCCTCAAGTCCAAGTCAAGTCCAAACTCACTGACCTTCAAGTCCAAGCCAAGTCCCAAGTCTTAGTCCATTTCATCAAGTCAGGTCTCAAATCCGAAAAATAGCGACTCGAGTCCAAATCACGACTTGCCCCATCTCTGGTTTCTAATAATCGCAGATGTTATATTGCGTCTGCTATAGTCGGAGCAGATGTCACGTTAGTATTCCTAAAGTACTTTTTACTACTAGTTTTCGAAGTAAGAATTGTGCTTTTGGTGTGTTTGCGCACTCTGCATATTGTGACTAACCGTGCCCTGTTATGCAGCGATGGCACTTCCTCTCTCACTCCGCTGCTGAGGTACTAATAGTAGCTTGCACATAAAAGCACGGATACTACTCTATGTGGGACTGCTTTAATTGCTCAGTGATCCTAGTTGTATTCTACTATGTACAAACAAGAAATATATTACGTTTTTTTTTTATTGTTAATAGAAATTTATAGGCAGAAAAAATAATAGTGGTAATATTTTAAAGGGCTCACATTATACATTCCTCATTACGAACAGACCTGGAGTTGTGTTTTGTTTCACTCACACATGTTTTAACACACAAACCCTGCAGATTTAGGCTGATTTCTTCTCTCAAATTGGAAAAAAAAAAAACACTTAATGTGATACAGGAAGAGCTCCACTGTGTTTCTAAACTCCACACACCTTCATTAGAATAATTTGGATAATTTCTACACTGGAATTGCCAAACTCTACTGAACTAAAGTTAAAAGGTAGATGTTAACTTGAAAACTACTAATTCATGACCTCACAAGGTGGAACAGAGCATTTTGAGCTTTGGAGATGTAGACAGACTAATAATAAAGCGTTTCTCAAAACATGTAAATGAAACAAAATGCAACTCAGTTTTCAATGGTTATAACTTGAAGGATATTTTTAATTCAACATGACTTAGGATGTGTTCACATTTGTCATGATTTGGTCCTGGTCTGAGCCCAGTTTAGTCCTGATGTAGACTTGGTTTGGGCCTTTTCTAGTCCTGGTTTAGTTCTGTCTAGTCCATGTTTAATCGCAGGTTTGAGGTGTGGTTTAGGTAGTGAGGATTCAAATTAGAGAGTTCTTTTAGGTTTAAAGGGCTCATATTACACTGTTTTCCTCATCACAAACAGACCTGGAGTCGTGTTTTGTTTCATTCTCAGAAAGACTAAGTTCTTCTCTCAAACAGAAAACCAACCCTGTTCCACCTTGTGATGTCATGTGGTAATACAAGAAGTGCCCCACTGTGCTTTTAAACTCCACACACCTTCATTAGAATCATTCGGATAATTTCAGCCCTGGAATTGCTCATCTCTACTAAACTAACTTGAAAACTACAGCTTCATGACATCACAAAGTGGAGCAGAGCATTTTGAGCTATAAAGAGTTACTCAAAACCTGTGTGAATGAAACAAAACACCACTCCAGGTAGGGCTGCTCGATTGTGGAAAAAAATCATTATCACGATTATTTTGGTCAATATTGAAATCCCGAACATTCAAACGATTATTTTTTAGTTACACAATGCATTTATTCAGTAATTTTCTCTCAAAAAACACATTGTTATTGATAATTTACGAAAAACTTTCAACTTGAAAATAAATATAGGTTACAAATAAATACCTTAGAGCAGTTTTGTGACGTATAAAACATAAAAAATGATTAAAATATACTTTGAACATGAAATAAGGCATAGAAAAGCATAAATGTATCCAAAATAAACTATATATCCAGCTGTTTTACAATTTGTATGTTTAAAAAAATAAAATAAATGCACTTATTTATATTAAAACTATCCCAATATACACATTGTTAAGTCTTAAATTGTTTCAACTCAATTAAATGAGTTTGCAGATCATTTAAAGACACACAAATCAAAATCGTGATCAAAAATCGATTAATTGCACGGCCTTAACTCCAGGTATGTTTTTGACGAGGTAACAACTTTCTAACATGACTTAAAGCTCACAAGAGTCAATTTTGCCTAATACAGAACCTTTAAACTCACCTTTTTATAATATCTTCAATTACACATTATTCTTTCAGCTTATCTATCGCTATCCTAGTCGATTTATCGTCACTAATGTAGTAACCACTTTGTGCTGTTACATCACAGGCTCATAAATAAGACGCCACGTGACTCAGGACTCCTCTGGGCCCAGAAATGCAATCTCCACCTATCAATTGCTCCGGTGAACTTTGACCCGGATGCCTGGTTTGACCTTGTCCTGTGCGTCCCTATTGCTCCCTGTAGG